GGGCCGGGCGCCGGCCCTGATGGCTTCCGCGGCCTCTCTCTTGCAGCCACCATTACTTCAAGTACTGCAAGATCTCGGCGCTGGCGCTCCTGAAGATGGTGATGCACGCCAGGTCCGGGGGCAACCTGGAGGTGATGGGGCTCATGCTGGGCAAGGTGGACGGGGAGACCATGATCATCATGGACAGCTTCGCCTTACCGGTGGAGGGCACCGAGACTCGCGTCAACGCTCAGGCGGCCGCCTACGAGTACATGGCTGCCTACATTGAAAACGCAAAGCAGGTAAGGAGAAGCGGGGGAGGGTGTTTCCCTCCCTGGTGCGGCTGTGGGTCTTGTGAGCTAATCGTCCCTTTAAACACTCTTGCATATAGATTCCTGTGTCTTACAGTAGGTCATAACATACTAGATTCTCCTTTCCTTTATAAATTATTTTCATTGCTCAGGAAGCGTTTTTGTGGCTGCAGCTGGCGGCTTATGGATGGAACAAGGAGGGAGTGTGTTTCTAAAGTACCTGATGTAATACATGTTTCTAAAAGCAGTATGCAAAATTAAATTTAAAAAAGGTATGTGTCAGAGATACTTGCAATTTGTAGATTGGGGATACAACATTTACTCTCACCTTCTTGCTTTCTGAAGTCTTACTGCGTGGCCATGCTGCTGTTTTCCATAAAAATAAAAGACATTTGTGAAGAAAATGCTAATGAAGGAATAAGTACGTTTCAGCGCAACTTAGTTATTCATATTTACAATTTGGAAGTTTAGATGAATGACTCAGATGTCTGTTCCCCCTCTTTGTCACCCTGTATTCAGAGACCCATGTCATATGAAGCCTGACTATGCAGTAAAATTCTCACATGCAGCAGGATAACAAAAATGCCAATCTGCTCTGTGGCTGATGCAGAAACCAGCATGGCACGTCAGAGCACCTGATGAGATGCTTCTTCAAATTCAGGGCAATCCTATACTACAGATACGCGTTGAAATAACTCTTCAAGCTCAAATAGATTTGAGGCCCGGTATACCCTTTGATTTTTCTTAATCCTGGAAGTATTTTAAAACAGTTGAAATTAGAGGCCCCTTACTTATTGACTGGAGATAACAGTTTGGGTTATTTTAGAGAGCTGTACAGCCTTCTGTACACTTAGAGATAATGAAATTGATGTGAATTAGGCTGGATCATAACATCAGAAAAGAGTAAACATAATCCAGAAGTCGGTGTATGCTGAGACTTTTTTAATTCATCCCTGTTAAAGAGAAATTTTTGAAATTATTTAATCTGGTTCCTTTTATCTGGAAACTATTAATGTCATAGTGCTGCACTGTTGTTGCAGAAAAGTAGGGAGCTTGAACTTGAAAAGATGTCTTTATGTAAGGATATATTCGTACTATCCAGTTCTTAAGTGGAAATAATGGGTTTCAAAACAGCAAGTATATACCATAAAATTAGTATTTTTATGTAGTTAGTTTGTCTTCTGTTTAAAACCGTCCAGGTTTATGTAGGAGTACTCATATGATAGGAAACATTTTTCTAGTTGTTTACATTCTACAGTTTTGTCTATAGTTGGTTTCACGATTTTGAAATTGAACTTGTGTGCAAATATAATAACTTAGCTTTACTGGTGCTCTGGCAGAGTTTGCATGCTGGCTGTGTTCCATATTTGATCTTTGGCAAGCAGTTGTTCCTGGAATAACTTTTTTAATATTAGATTGCAAGTTCATATATTCCCCTGCATAAGCACTTTACAGATGCCAGCATTCCAGTTACTCGCTTCTCCATGGGCAGGATCTGGTGTTAATACAGACAAAATGTGTCATTTGGCTTTGAAAAATAACACGTGTTCTTTAATGTTTTGTTGGTCTCTCCTTCTCTATTATGGGAGATGTAAAGAAAATACAAATATTGTTCACCAATTCAAAAATAAATGTTCCATTCAGTAGGCAGTTTGTGTGTTTTGTCTCATATTAACATTTTTCTGATTTAACCTTCCTGATGTACTCAGTATTTGGCAGAACCAAGCAGGTGATGCATCCAAACGCGTGACTTTCAGTTAAGAACTGGTATATAGGGTCATATCAAGATTATTGAACTCAGTATGGAGCAGCCAGTAAGCAATTCCTGAGTGAGGTTTACAAAATGAGGTGCAATGGGTGTTCGTTCTCCTGGGGGTGTTTCGTTTTGTTAGTTTGTTCTTTTTCCAGCATTTGTAGAGATAGCTAGGGATATTATTTGGAAACTGCTATTTTGAGTTTTTCCTAAAAATCTCAAAAATTCATCTTTTGGCTTTCACGGCATGGTCTCGCAATAATTTCTGTCCCTTCTGCTGTTCGAAAACATGCCTCTCTGAAGTTATTTTTTAAACCTAGCAATAATCTCTCTATATGCCTCTGAGATGTGTTACTGTACTAAATAATGAATGTTCGTTCTCTACTGGCATACTATACATTATATGAGATTATGTGTACTTAGGTCACATCCACCGTAAGAAATTACTCTTCCACGCTGTGGCAAGCCTCAGCTTACTTAACCGTCTCGCCTGGCTCCTTCAAGTTCTTTGTTCTGTGGTAGTAGCTGTAACAGCGAATGCTAATGCTACGGGTTGTATGGTTTCTAGAAAATAGTTTAGCAAAGTAAGGTGTATGTTTAGTTTACTATTAGTAAGTTAGCATCACAGGCTGTGTATTCCTTATCCTCTCACCGTGCTGTCGTATGTTGGAAGGCCCAGTAGAGGGCAGCTGATGCGTTCGGAATGGAGTTGAACACTGGTTTTGTTTTCCTTCACTGCTGTTAGGTTGGTCGTCTAGAAAATGCAATTGGCTGGTATCACAGTCACCCTGGCTATGGCTGCTGGCTCTCTGGGATCGACGTCAGTACCCAGATGCTTAACCAGCAATTTCAAGAACCCTTTGTAGCAGTGGTTGTAAGTATTGGCTGATAGTTGATAAAACTGTATAGTAAATCATGGGGGGAGGAGGAGGCGGGCGTAATTTTTAGATTTCAGTCAACGTTCTAGTAGTGTGTATTTTACACAGTGGAAGTCTTGGATCCAATTTTAAATTGGTATCACTTCTTTTGCTTTGCTGGCCACATACTGGTCAAACCAGTAGTATTGCTTACCAAGGCCATTTTCACAGCATTGTTCCGAGTATAGTGTTCTGTGTAAATCCATAGAAAACTCTTAACTTAAAGTTCTACTCAGTACTTTTGCAAAAAAAAAAAAAAATTATTGAGCAATCTATATTCAATGTCCTGCAATAGAACAAAATTCGGGTTTTGTTGCTGCTTCTGTCAAAATAGAGCAAAGCATGTCACAGAGTTCTGTTGTGTTGCATTTAAAATGCCTTTTAAATTAAATCAGTGGCATAGTACAAGGTAGAAGACACTAGGAAATCTATCTTTGAAGAAAAAATCTGAAGAAACTCTTTGGGTCCTTCAGGGTCTTCCAGGCTTCAAATCACGTTTGAAATCAAAAGTAAACCTTATTTTAGATACTAAGATACTATTTGTATAAACCATGCTACTGAAGGAAATACAGGAAAAAAGACTGAAGTGAGTCAGAAAGAAGGAATATAACTCTGATGGAAGAATTACATTAGAAAAGGATAAATAGCCCTTAAGAAGTATTTCCACCATGTGAATTCTCTTACTTTATGACATAATTTCACAGATTCAGAACACTTTCCTTCAGACTGCTTTTTTCTTTTTCTTTTTTCTTTTTTTAATTACTTTTAAATTTAAACACAGCATTAGTAAATATGTTCGCAAGCAGATTCCTTCATTAGTTTCCTCTGTTTTCCACCAAAATACAGCAGATCATGTAATACATTTTCTTACCTCTAGTGGTTATAAGATTAAAATGCAGATTTTTATTATGGTTTATTGATTGCTCTTAAGTGCAATTCCCTTAAAGTATTTGGGGAAATAAGGAAAATGAGTTTGGGAAAAAAAAAAGTCCATAGAATGCTATGAATATTCCCATCTTTTTAGAGAGTCTTATACCAACAGATGCCAACTGAAAAGTACTGTTTATGACAAAATGAATGTAATTTGCACTAATTATGTTTCTGAAATACAATTACTATAAAGTTCATTTATGTGTGTAATAATTTATAAAATGCATATAACAAGCATTACCTGTATTTGTACAGATTGATCCAACAAGAACAATATCTGCAGGAAAAGTAAATCTTGGAGCATTTAGGACATATCCTAAGGTAAATAGTTAAAGTTATCTAGTATGTGATCACCAAACTGTCTTTACATGAGAATAGATTGGTTCTAAAGATACTGCAGTTCGATCATGACAGTTTGATCTGCTGTGCTCTACTGCATGTCATTGTTCATTCTAAAAGAAAGACGTGCTGATATACTGGTTATTGCATGTCTTTGGATATTGATTACATTTACAAAGGTTGACTTCTAGTTCATTTTTCATAGATTTTTGACAGTGTTAAATCAAAGACTGTCTAGATAATGGAGCTGTCCTAAGATTATATAGCTCAATGTACCCATTTTTTAATGGATAGAGTTGTAGGTAGCATTTATCAAAATAGATTTATGTTAATTCTTCTCTATCATTTTTTTAGACCTAAACCCAAATGTTAATAGCGTGTTTTATGCTACAATCTGCTTTTCATTTTAGCAAAGCATGATTTAAAACTATCTACTTAACTCTATCAAATAAATATTATGAATCTTCGCAAAATAATGTACCAAAAAATGAGTGAGTTAAACAACGTGGAAGGATTAGGCTAAAAACTAGGAAATCAGATAGATATTGGAAATCTAGATCTCCAAATGCAATCTTTTCATTTATACTTCTGGCAGAGATATAACTGTGCTATTTAATTTCAATCTAATAAAGTTCAGGTATATCCTTCAAATTTCCAGTTATGATTGACTCATCAAGAACTTCAGTCTGACATCCAGTAAAACTGTAATTAACAAAAATATTTGTGAGACATTCCCAGCTGCATTCAAGTATTATTTTTGTGTGCTCAAATACAAAAGAGATCATCTTAGAACAGTTTGTGATTCAGGAGAATATTCACTTCTGTAGGCAAAACCACTTTATAAATACTTTCAGAATTTTGAGCAGGGAGAGTAATCCTGCGCCTGGAAACCAAATCCTATATGGAAGATGCATGTTAGAAGCATGTTTTTAGGGAGTCCTCCCAGTGGTCTGTGGGCAGCTCTTGGATAGTCAGTAGCGGTGAGCGGCACCATCTTGGCTAAATAAATAACTGAAGTTTTAGGTATCCCTAAGGCATATCCAAGGCATGGATGTTTCTTCCCTCTTCTCATGCCTCCTTTCTTCTCTCAAAAGAGGATTGAAATCACTTCCAAGAGTAGGTAGAGAAATATTATCTGAGAAGAAGCTGGCTCTTCCTTTGATCTAAGAAATGATCTCATCATAGCTTGTCATCTTACTTGTTTGAAAAATCTCAACTATGACCACTAGTTTGCTTCCAACGTGCTTTTTGATAGACCTGAAAATGTAACGACTGCTAGTAAAGCCAAATGTAAATCTGAGATCCAAGAAAATTCCAAATTTCAGGCTGCTGGGGGAAATTCCATTTTCCCTAGAAAAAATAAACTAGAATTGTTGTGAAGTGCTTTCAAAGAGTTTAGGCATTTTAAAAAGTCCCAAAATTACTGTGTCATCTTTGCCCTTTGTTGAATTTTTAGGGCTATAAACCTCCAGATGAAGGTCCCTCCGAATACCAGACTATTCCACTTAATAAAATAGAAGACTTTGGTGTACATTGTAAACAGTAAGTAACAAAAAAACTACTAACTCTAGCACATATTCTCAATTTTTGTGTTTAGGTTAGTGATTCAGTACGGAAAAGTACATTTTTTTGGAGTGTTTCAAATATTGAAGTTCTTTGTTGCTTTAGCACTGTTGCTTTTGTGAAAAAGTGTTACTGTCATTTATCAGGAGATATTTTTAAGGGACAGCTGTTACAAAGATGAAGATGAACCTGGTTAAAACTTTAGCAGTTGATTCCTTAGCACCTTTAAGTAGTGGTGCTTTCTTAGGGCAGGGAGGAAGTGTCAGATGTAGATTTAGCAGCAGAGCTAGGGAGACTGTAATCTGTCTGCTCTTCTGAGTAGTGGCAAGTGCTGCATATCTCTGTCCCGCGTCACTGGGCATGTTTAGATTGTTTCTGTCTTTGGTAGGATTGGAAGGTGGAGCTGCTTCAAGGATAACATCAGCAACAGGAAGAATTACTGCTTTTTCTCTCCTCCTAATTTACTTTCCATGAATTAAAAAGGTAGTTTAGTTTTAACCATTCTTTCTTTAACTGTTCAGTCCCCAGCGACACGTTCCTCACTTCATGCCTATGTTTACTTATTTGTCAAAGCATTTGTTTTGCTGCATCAGTCCCCTGATCTGATCCAACTTGTGGAAGCACACACATCATAGAACCATAGAATTGTTTAGGTTGGAAAAGATCTTTAAAATCATCAAGTCCTACCATTAACCTAACCCTGCCATCCCACCACTAAAACATGTCCCTAAGCACCACATCTACACAGCTTTTAAATACCTCCAGGGATGGGGACTCAACCACTTCCCTGGGCAGCCTGTTCCAATGCGGGACAACCCTTTCGGTGAAGAAAGTTTTCCTAATACCCCATCTAAACCTCCCCTGGCGCAACTTGAGGCCATTTCCTCTCGTTCTGTCGCTTGTTACTTGGGAGAAGAGACCAACACCCACCTCACTACAACCTCCTTCCAGGTAGTTGTAGAGAAGGATAAGGTCTCCCCTCAGCCTCCTTTTTTCCAGGCTAACCCCCCACCCCAGTTCCCTCAGCTGCTCCTTGTAAGACTTCTTCTCCAGACCCTTAATGATCCTGTCTCTCTAGAATGTCTGTGACTACTGATCACTTCTTAGTAGCAGTCTGGATAACCTTAGTCAAAATTTAATTGGTATGCAATGCTCAATGTGAAACTGCTTCCATTTAATCTTTTTAAGTAAGTTTATTACACTAGCCCTCAAACAACTTGGATTTCTAATTTTGGATCTGCCACACATCTCTTTGAAGAACTTAGTACCTCATTTTTCTTAGCATATGTGAAATAAGGGTATTTGTTCTATCACAGAAATATTAAAGTGTGGTGTGTGGGTAGATTTTAAAGCACTGTTATCTCTGATGGCGTTTCTTACAGAAATGCCAAACAGAATAACTTTCCGGAGAAATCGAGAGATAATAGGATTATTGATAACCTGCTCAAGAATTTCCTGATCAAAATGAAGTTTAATATAACTCTTTAATGTTGCTGTAATTCACCTACACTAATGACATTGCATAGCTCAGCTTTCTACCTCCTTCATCATCTCTTGTGAATTCTTTAGCACTACTAAAGCCTGACTTTCAAAATAGGTGTGGTAGAATGTAAGATTGTTTGCCTGTTTGTAACATTTACTGCTATCAAACATTCCTAACTGAATTAGAGGTTAAAGATGACTGCAGTTTTGCATATGTAAGTAACAGTTATTACAGTATTGAAGATCCCAAGCATGGAATAGGGCATCATTGCATTGCACAAGAAGTCGTTAAGAGACTAATTAAAAAAACTTGCAATCTCATTAAATAGAACACAGCAGTATGTGTGGGGATTATGTATACCTGTATTAAAGCTCTATGTGAAATGTTTATGGAAAATCTTTTAGAGTTAGAATTGGAACTGGGGGGTAACTTTTTTTTATTGTTTGGTGCTTTGATCTTTTTGAAGATATTTGCCATTGCTAAGGATTTTTTGAGATGTATGTACTTTTGGTGTCACAGCCAAACAAGATATATTTAGATAGAAGCTTACTTTGTTTGCATGTTTGTTTTTAAAGGTATTATGCTTTAGAAGTCTCATACTTTAAATCATCTTTGGATCGTAAATTGCTTGAGCTTTTGTGGAACAAGTACTGGGTGAACACTCTCAGTTCTTCTAGTTTGCTGACTGTAAGTACCATAGTGTGCTATCATGTGCATATATTAATTCATTAGTGCTGAAAGCCAGACCCTCTACTGTAAAATGCTTAATGGGACACTGGTAGATATAGATCCCACATGAAGAAGCTATTTGTCAGACTGAACAAGAAAAGAAGGTTTTCTTAATGATAAATACTGAAATGTTCCTTGTATCTGCTCTCTAAAAGTAGAAGGTGGGAATAACTTACTGTTTCATTTTACGGAGTTCTCCATACGCTTAGATTTTGTCTTAAACTCCTTTTAACCTTACATCTCTTTACAGCACTGTAATGAATAGTATGCCTTAAAATAATGGTATTGAATAAGTAAACAATTTAGAAAAATATACAATGGAACTTTTAAAACGAGGTTGCAGCAGAAATATTGCGGGTAGACCTTCAATGTCACAGATCAGCATCAAAACCTTCCTTCTACAAAAGGCAATTTTATACCTTTCCTCTTCGTCAAAACCAACGGAGTTTTACTTACTCTTTCATAACTTAGGGCATGGGCAAAAAGTAATAGAGAGTGCCCACTTCAGGCTTTAGGTATTGAGCATTTGTCAGATGTTCAGCTTCTGTTCTCTCAACCACCACTCGTGTGCCACTCGTGTTCTTTATCACTTCTATTGCAGATACAGGTTAAAATGTGCAGCACTACAGTCTTAAATGCTCTTTTTAGATTGTGTTGATTTTGTGTATAAATGCTTGAATTTATAGCTTAGAATTCAATAATGTTTATTACCTTCTTTCTCCTAAGAATGCTGACTACACCACTGGCCAAGTCTTTGATTTGTCTGAAAAATTGGAACAGTCAGAAGCTCAGCTTGGAAGGGGCAGTTTCATGCTGGGTTTAGAGACTCATGATAAGAAATCAGAAGACAAACTTGCAAAAGCAACAAGAGACAGGTAAGATAATGCATATTTGTGTTCTTCCCTGTAAAAAGTGTTATTTTGTTTTAAACTTACCATGCCTTTAACTGTGACCTACCAATTAAATTGTAACCTACCAAGATTATAGGTAAGAATGATTAGATTATAGATAGGAATGAGAGACTCCAAATATCACTAGTTACTTTTGAAAGTTTAAGAAAATCTTGCCTTTATTAAACCTACAATGGCATTTCAATCTTTGTTTCTGGCATAAATTCAACTCTAGTTTATAGTCTATTAAACAAAAAATCCCTGTTAAATTCCATCAGTATATGGCAAACCAAGAAAGATGTTTTCTGTCAAATACAAAAAGGTAGCATTGCTAGAAAATAGCATGTTTTCTGTGGTTAATCAGGTTTAAGCTAACTGTAAATAAAAATTATTGCATAGGACGTGATTTTAAGAACTAGGGGCTAGTCCAGTAAGTTTGGTTTACACTTGTGTAATACCTTCACTCACTTAAAAATGAACTCCCTTTTTTTCATATTTTTTTTAATTAATACATCCTTTTTCCACACATGAAGGGGGCTTTTTGTTGGTTTGTGTTTTGTTTTTAAGAAGTAGATTGCAGACATTCTGGCCTTTATATTTAGCTACCCTACCTGATAGCAAATACTTGCTGTTACCAGTTATTTAACTTGCCATCGCTGACTATACAGCATTATTCCAGAGAACCTGTAGTGTTTTCCCTGAGTGTTTTTTATATGTTTGTTGGTAAGCAGCTCTAATCTTGTTTGAGCTTTGAAGTACAAACATTGCTCCTCACTAATATTTACATCTCTCTCCCAATAGTCTTAGGAATGATACATGTGCCTAGACTATCTATATAATGTTATGGTCACCATTTTTCCAAGGAAAATCTTCAGCAAAGGCTAATAGTATCCAACAAGTCATACAGTATCTTGGGCTGTTCAAGAACTTTGGCAAATTCCAGGCTTTGAAAACCAAGAAGTACTGTACTGTGCATGCTAGTATAACCTCAGGCCCATCTGTGGTGAAGACAGGACTCATCTGCGTGTGTCTGAGGAATGTTCTGAGTGAGATACAATCCCATTTAATAAGGAACAATTCTATAGAATCCCTTAGAACAGACTGCAAAAATTTAATAAAATCTGGGATGTTCTACTTTTCAGATTTGGAGGTTTTGTCATCCTCTTCCTCCATCACTTTATCCTGATACATAGAACAGTTTTCTTGTATTCCCTTCCCCGCCCTCCCCTGCCACATTAGCAAGCAATATGTGCCATAGTACAAACTTTACCAAGGAACTGATTTTTGAGATACCAGATGAGTGGTGAGTTTAACGATAGGTAAAAAAAATCAAGAGACAAAAAGAAGGCCTTGTGTGAAGAGACTGATAAATAAATTATTTTATTTACATCTTGCTCAGCATGGCTTTACCTTAATAAGGAGAGGAGTCGGCTTGTGTTGGACAAGCCTTTGTTCCACAATAAGCAGTGGGGGAAAACCTGCAAGTGTAGTATGTCATTGCTAAATAGAATCAGAGTTGCTGTTGTGCCAGCGTCTTCTGTGCGCTTGTTTCCTTGTTATGGAAAGTTAACAGCTCTTAACAAGTTTTCTAACAAACATGATCAAGTTGGAGGGGGGTTGACTTTACAGAAGTTAACACCCATCTAGCCTATTTCAGTTGTAGAATACATTTGCAATGGAGTTAAGGCTGCTGCTAACTCACAACAGCCAGGCTAGGTGATACCTCCCAGTTCCTGTAGTGAAACAGCTACAATAGCAATGCTTTAAAAGACATGAGAAGGATAGAGTTGCTGACAAGTCTGCTTTGATTTTCATCCTCGTTTGGTGTCTGGTAACACTAACCACATTTTATTTTCACATTACTCTCACGTGCTTACAGTTATTCTAAGAAATCACTCCTTTTCTGATCATCCTACTATATTATTTCTTGCAGCATTTCTAGAGATTTTTTTCTGTTTTTATTTAGTCATCTTCAGTAGTTAGTTTATAAATTGTAAGACTGGAAGGGATTGTTGTTGTTATCAATTCTGCTTTCCTGTGTAACAGAGGCTCCTGTAGTTCTCAACATGGATTGTAACAGATGCATGTTTTTCTTGAACAAATAATCTTCCCTAAGAAAAGACAAAAGAGAGTAGCAGACTTGTGCAGACACCAGGACAATTGATTCAGTGGCACCTAAATTACTTTCAAGAAATAAAGTTGTAAAGTTTGCTAAAGGATAATTGGGTGTACTTGTTTGAGGAAAAACAATACTGTAAGCCATTAGCATAAAGGTGCTTACACTTGGCTATATTGTATCTTGTTACTGTACATACAGATCTCTAAGAGCCTTTTTCTAAGAGTTCATACACATTAGCCAAATTGTGCTCCAAGCCAGCTTCCTCTGGCTAGGATTCCTTTATTCATCTAGTAGTAATTTGTCCCTACTCTCCATGCCTTTAGGGCTGATTCATCTTTTGCGTTTGTATATTCTGTTCTGAGACATTTTTGTTAGTTTGCCACTACATCCCCCTAAGGCAGGCACGCTGGATGAAACTTGGATCAGTAGGAATCCTCTCTGCTGTTTGGGGGTTTTACATGTTGCATATTTTGACTAATAACTGATTAGCTCTATAAACTCTCCCTTTAATGTTCTCTGTAAAGTTTCTTAGAGGAGCTATGGTTACTGCACACTACTGTCCTGGGGTTAGGCAAAGGAGATAAGGGGGAGAACAGCAAGAGCCTTCAGGTATTGATAACAGATGGTAGCTCCATTCCCCCAGGGTTTGTTATTGGTTTTTTTTAATTTTATTTTTGGTTCAGATGACCACAAAGCTAGCTTACTTGCTATTGTTAATGTAAGATGTCCTAAATTGCCAGACAAAGAAGTTTTCTGGAATTGGTCTCTGTGTGTAGAGTGCTCGTTGGTTTGCTTTTTAAGTAAGAAAAAGCTATTGGCAACAATAGCTAAATTGCTGCATGTGACTTTTCCTTTCTAGACAGTTGCTAAGATTCATGGGGTTATGGGCACCCTGAACTTCCAAAACAGCTGAATATCTTCAAATAAAATGACAGTTTGGTTCCGTGTATGGCCAACGTTGAATTTATGCTTGTTTTTCAGCTGCAAGACCACCATAGAAGCGATACATGGATTGATGTCTCAGGTTATTAAGGATAAACTTTTTAATCAAATTAATATAGCTTGAAGTGCATCACCAGCTGATACGCATCTCCAAAGCAGAAAAAGTCATGGTTTCTTTCGCTTGGACTTGTTCAATTTGGGAAATGAAGCTGGAGTGGAAAATTATTCATTTAATTTGTAGTACTTTAGTATTTCCCACCTGCCTGACCAGTTTTAAAGAACAAAATGTTCTGAAATGTAGTGCAACTTTTTGTTCTTTATCATAAAACACAATCAATTTGGAGAATTGTTCCAAAAGAAAAATAAATGTGACTTACTGGATTTTGCTCTTAGGTATTTATCTCTTATTACCCAACTGCAATAAAACAATTTTGAAAATGAGTGAGTGTTTTGGGGCTTGAATTTTTTGGCAAACATTCATCTCCTCTTATTCTTTTTTCCCTATTGTTCTGTCCACTCAGATTATATTAGATAGGCAACCTATGCAGTATAAGAAGTTTGTTTCTCAGATTTTCAATTTGTGTTTAAGAATTCAAATCCCATTTGCTTATCTTTTAATGAGTTATTAAAGATAATGGAGCCTTTCCTGATTTAGTTTTACTGGTCCAGCCAGAAATGGTCTCTTCTCACAGTGATGAAACATTCATGCATGACATAACAGTATTTTGCTCGTAGCTTCACACTTAATGATGGACATTTTATATTTCTAAGTAGTCAAGTAACGACCAGTTCTGCGGCAAAACTAACAATAGGATTTTCTCCTCCTCACGTTCTATCGCTTGTTATAGTCACTTCTTGCATGCAAAAGAACAAAATGAAAGATTATCATCTCCGAAATATGCATTAGGCTAATATAGGGCCACAGATACTAAAATGCATTAATCATAATTGCTGGCTTATAACATAGTGCTGCTGCAGGGCTGATTAAGTTTGTTTTGGAGGCTTTCATACCGCATTTCAATAATTCAAGATGTTTGGATTTCTTTTAAGTTTTTATACTTAATCCTGAGTTTCCTGGGGTCTTTGGAATGTTTACTTTTGGGATAATTTATAACATGCTTTATACAATATGCCATTATGCTTTATACCTTAAGTAACTGATACTCCTTTTCAACCTTAACTCTGCCTTGATGTGGGTTTTGTTTTTGTTTTGGTCTGGAAATTTTACTAGCTATTACTCATTTGGGGCTTTTCATCCAAATGGGTTCCAGCATATTTGAAGCGAAGATGCAAGTTACACAATGGAAACTTACCATTCAGCAGGGAAATGCAGATAGCCTGAAGCAGAAATTCATTAAGAGTTTTAAAGCAGCAACATCCAACAGTACAGGAAAAATCAGAGTGAGTAAAGTTGAGATAATTATATCAGATGTTCAGTTTGATAGGAGAACGATTCTATGCTTCTTTGAGCATGTCAGCGGTGGTGAGGAGGCAGGAGAAGAAAGGTGTGGTATTTTTAATATTCAGAGCTCTTGGAAATGGCAGCGATAGACTTCTGTACAAGCAAGAACAGTACATAAGCCCACAGCAGTACCTTTTGAGTTCAAGGAAGACACAGCAAGTGTACCTGGCCAGTAACTTTTCCTACTTATTTTCCTCCACGGGTGTTTGAGACTATACATTTCAGTGCACAGCCATTGTCCCACTTGATACCTGTTTACACAAAGAAGTACACTGCTTTTGTGAAATAAGTTATAGGTATTTATGTTGCCACTTTATAGAATTCTCTTTGCATAACATTATCCAAAAGTTTTGGACATCTTATATGTACTTGAAATATAATAGTTCAATCTCATATTAGTCTATTTAGTGTATTTAAACCGTCCTCATTGGTGATAGCAATGAGCTGAAATTTCACGCACATAGGCTCAGACTGAATGGTTTTAGTCGCACTTGGCTTTAAAATACCAAGTTATTTTATAAACTATAGGAATATGAATGCCAGTGCTTGAATGCTGATATAAACAGTTGTCCCACCCTTCCTGGTGACACCCAGTGTTTCATTGGCTTATTTGGCTGCTGTTGCACATCAAGCTCATGATTTCAAAATTGGTAGGTACAACTCCAGAAAGCATTGGGTAAGGCATGGTTCAGATTTTCCCAGGATGCGTTTATCTACATCGAAGCTCCTCTGCCGCATTTTTTGCTCGCTCAAGCTTTGTGAGATCCTTTTGGAGTTCCTTACCATCAGCGTGGTATTTGACTACCCAGAAAAGCCAAGTTACCAGCTGCAAACTTCAAGATACTTCGTTATCTCTCACTCTTCGGGGTTTCATCTGATTGATCATTTCAGAGAGGAGTTTACTGATGCTGACTATATTTTGTAATGTATTGCCATACTTTTGGACTGTAAAGTCAAACACAAAATATTGTGCTGTCTATAATAAAATCCAAGCTTGTGTTGTCTTTATAATTCAGTACAATGTCTGGTTTAGTATTCTGAATATCCAGCATATTGCACAGAGAACAGTAACTCAACTACATGACAAACTTGAAAATAAACACATTAGAGGACAAACATTGAACTGCAGTGACTGTAGGGAAGAATGTTTTGCTCTCTAAAGGCTGTACACTGGAGGAGATGGTTTCGGGCCTCATGCATGAATGAGGAGATGAAGATGTAGGGCTCGTGCATGCACAATTATTCATTTATCTTGTGTATGCCTGCACTGTACCTGACTGCCATATATATATATATATATATATATATAAAAACAGAAAATAAGCACTTCATATATATATATATATATATAAAAAACAGAAAATAAGCACTTCAGAAACTTGAAAAGTTATATTCCTAGATTATTTTATAAGTAACTAACAGCAATAGAAGCATTTCATATTTATATGTATATGGTATATCTGAGGTATCTGGTCATAAAAAGCAGGAATACTTCTATTTCTCTGGTTTTATATGTAGCCAAAATACTTCAGGTAGTAAAATTTTGCTTTGAAGTCCCACACAAACAATTAGATTACCTACTCAGTAGATATATTCTTAACTAATCTGTAAAATGTAACTTCTTCACTCTGGTTGCATTTGCTTTAACAATGTTTGTGGATAGCATTTAACAAAACTGTAAAAACCTAAATTAGATGATCTAGCTATTAATTAGGGACAATTTTTCTTAAATAATTCTGCATCCAGCAGCCCCCATTTGTACCACTAAGCACCCAGATTTTCAAAAACTCAGCACTTATTCAGAGGGAAAATGGAAGTTACTAGATGTTAAGTGTTTCCCTAGGTCTCTTACATTAGATGTCTACTGGAGATGGAGACTTTCTGAAGGATTAGCCCTAATTGGGAGTTTTAAGTAACAATCTCAATACACTGAGGAAAGCTGAATTTTAGAAGATGTTTCGGTCCCAAAACCACTCTGCCACCTTTGGCCACCGGTATCTGGATTTTGTTACAAATTCTGTAATCTTTACTCTTACGAGCAGTCTTTCTATGAACAACCTCACTGAGATCAAGAAGTATTTCTGCTTTAGAAAAAGCTAATGAAAAGGCTAACCTTAATCTTTTGCATTTGAGCAGCATCACAAGTTCTCCAGTCATCCCTTACCTCACATTCATACCAGGCCAGAAGAAATATGCCTTGAGCTTTTCATAAATTCTCTTTGATTCTAGTACTGGAGTAGCAGGCAGCTGTGAGCTGGCTACAACAGCTCTGTTCACCATCTATCTTTGATACTCCCTGAAAAACCCCCCTTGCCCCACAATGTCTCCGTTCAGACCTTATTTTACAAGGGACTCTCTTGTTTTCCTTGCCTTCAGTGGCAGTTGGTGTACAGGAGCTCAGATTAAATAAAATGAGCTCTTTTAAACTTGCTAATTAGTAAATGAAGCAGAATTTTCTTGCATTTCTATCACTTGTGCCTTTATAAAGCCCCACCTGCAGCTGGGTTTGGATATTTTGGTTTTACTTTAACCTGTCCAGTGTTTCATGAACCTTCAGTGCGGCAGGGTATTCCTGCAGATACAGTAGCTTTAGAAGGTGTAAGGTTGCTGTGAAGTTGGGTACTGGATCACTCCTGCACAGTGTATAGTACCTCGCCCCAAGGCATACAGTGTTTCTGTAGTACTCTTCCATTTATTACGAATGGTAATGCCAGTTGATTATCTAATGCTGATGATTAAAAACGCAAGAATCCAAGATGCAAAGCGAATTGCTAACCTGTTACTATTTTGTTTATAAGGTTAAAAATATACTAAATGTAATTAAACATCAATTATCTTACTTATTTTCTCCCCTTTGCTAAATTTTGGAGATTTTTTTTTTATTTTAGGTCAGTGTTTTAAAATAAGCTTTGATAAACATACTGTTATCTATTTTTATTGCTGTGTCTCAAAAAGTCCAAATCAGAATTGCACTCTCATTATGCTACTAACATATAACTAACATAATATGTTTATATACAATACTTAAAGTATTTATTGAAATCCCAGTGTAAAAGATTTTGTATGTATGTCATACTATAAACTAGGTTAGGGTAAAATGATAAATACTTTCAAAGGTACAAAACCAGACAAAATTTAAATACTACAGAGTTGAGCTAGCATAATTTTAAGGGTGCAAGTCCCTAAGGGTAAAAATGTTTAAAATATGGGGTGTTAATACATAAGATTAATTGCATGCATGTAGGATTTTTTTTCTTGTGTCAAGTCTTGAAGAACTGACATCAGAGAGTCTCCAGTTGAAGGATTTTTCTGGAGTTAAAAACAATTATGCTAAACCTTTAAGGAATTAATGAAATATCTTGTTCCTCGGGGTGTATTTTTTATGAGCTGTAGTTTTACTTTTCAGAGCCTAGCAATAATATCCACGAGGAAATATGCAATTTAGGAAAGTTAATTTTGACCCTCAGATGAAACTTCTAACATATGAAATATTTGCTGTGACGTTTGGTTTGTTTTTAATTATGAAAAATTGCTTCATACAAGGCTTTCTGAAAACTACAGTATTCTGGGAAGTAGCATGGTCCAGTGGATAGGTCAGAGGACTGCATCTCAGGAGAATTGGGGTTTCTTCCTGACTTTTCACAAACCAGGAGTGCATAAACTTTAGCAAGGCATTTTTGCCAGAGCTAGTGTCTGTTTTCCTCTATGAAGTAATAAGATTGATCATTAGCCTTTTAAAAATGCAGATGAAAACGGATATGGAAGTATTGCCATTTTTATGCACTAAAGGTCATTGCTTCATCTCCGGTTTGTCAGACATTATCACCTTAAATCACAGGTCTTAATAATGCTGTTCGCAGAGAATGTTTACTCTGTTTTGCATAGTTTGGCTGTTTAGATCACCACAGATAGGAAATGCCTAAGCCCTTGGAGGGGATTATAAATATATTGTTTTAGGAACTCTTAATTTTCAACTGAA